TAGATCACGATCTTTAATGAATTTCATGTAGGTATTCTAACTGGGCAATCACCTGAGTTATTTAATCAAAACTATAATCAAAATTCCTTTAAAAGAATGAATCCTATTGTGCTTTGGGGGTGTGAAATATCTATACATCTTAGAGCATGTTTCTGCATTTTGATAGTTTATATTCTAATGGTTGTCTAAAATAATGCCTTGTAAATGGTAAAGTGCATTATTTTAGCATTTCAAACTGTTTTAAATGAATGTTTTAAGCTGGGAAAACACCAATCCAACATCAATAATCTATAGAAAAGCAAATTAAAATATAACAAGAAACATAGTTCCTACCAAGTTTTTTCTCCTGCAAGTAAAGAACAATGTCACTGTGGGAAGTTTACATGAACTAGAAAGCAGTTAAATTTTTTTTTTCAGAAATCCTATATACTATGGGTCTATTAGAATATTTATCTATATTAATCTTATATTCCATGCTTTTAATACTTTATTTTATTGAGACTATAAGCATGTATTACAATAAACAATGCAACATGGACCAAACGCTATGGAAATCTTAACGTAGTTTTTCAGAAGAGAATAAAAAGGTGATAAAGCAAAAGCTGACCATATAAAAATAAGAAACAAATGCAAATATCACAGTAGGAATGGATAATAGTCACCATCTTTCCATGTTTCCATTAAGGAATTACCTTCACATGCATTACCTTTCATTGTCAGGATTATACCTACCACCTTATAAAATAAAGTTATCCTACATGTGTAAAATGTACACCCATAATTCTAGGAAACCCCTGAATAAAACTCAACTAGAATGTTGATATAAACAAAAAAGGAAATAACCTAGATGGATAATGATTACCATTTACGACTGCAAAGGCTATAAAATCTCTTGATGGGCAAGAAAATATGCCTTGAGGCATATTGTATTTGAGGGGAAAAAGGCTATTTTAATTGAAAATGCATTAATGAATTGTTTCCTCATGCTTTATATAATTCTTAGAAAAAGTTCAAATTATGTCCCCAAAAGGATGTTTTAATTATGAGAAGCAATATTTTGAAACTCATACAAGGCATCACACTTGTTTGGAAACAAATGACTTCTCAAGATGGAGAAGTATTACTATCAATCACCAACGAGTTAATTCTACATAATAAGGCAGGTTTGGATGCAAACTGATCCATTGTGGAATGCTGTATCTAAAATTGATTACAACAGCACTCAAAATGAATGCAGCCCTCCAAACCACTTCTTTGCTCAGAAACATTAATCTCAATTAGAAGGAGAGCTTCATAATGGTAATGCTTGGTATAAAAAAGTGTAAAATAAATCAGGTTTTATAAGACACAACAATTAATCAGTTTTCAGACTGAGAAGGTTTTTTTTATTGAATCACAAAATTTCCATCAGGACTCTTAAAACAGCTGATATCTCCAAAATTAAGTTTTAAATGTGTTCTAAAAGGAGCCTACATAAAATAATTTTAAAACTTAGTTGCTAGAACTTTTAAATAACATTGTATTATTGTGCTATCCTTTCAATACACTTCTTTATTGTGAACGCATGTGTTAAATTCTTCTCCGGACTATCATTCCACTTTATAAGACCAATATGAACACTGGCTTCAACTGAAAATTGAAAGAAAGGTATAATTGGTTGTGGATCAGAGTAAAAGTTTGGTGGCAAATTATTATATTCTTGGCTCACATTCTCAACCCACATAAAGAAAGTATATCCTGAAAGTCAAAATGGACATTTGACTACCAAACAGAACACTGGGTAGATAAGCAATGTGTAACTGAACACGCTTAACAGGTTTCTACAACACAGCTTCAAGAAAAGGGCAGACAATTCATTACTGCTGCTGAATACACTGATTCACATTAAGTATAATACTTGGATGACATTCTGCCACCATGCAGAAATCAAATTTTTAAATGGTAAAATAAGGTTAATAAAGAGGGGTACATGTATTTATTAAAATAACAAATATTAAAAAACTAACAAACTTGGCTTCTTGGTGCTTTCATATCAGACTATGTTCATGCTCCAAACTTACTTCCTAGTATCATTGTTAAGTATGATAAACTTCAGCATTTCCAAACATACTTTCACAGCTATTACAAAAACATCATTTTTTTTTTGTACATCCAGCCTAACCTTAATTCAGTATTTCTGACCCATCATTATACTCACAATGATAGCCATACACTTCTTCCTGGTTTCTTATTTGCTTGACTCTTTACAAAGAGAATAATTACTCTTAGCTCTCAGAAGCAAAGCTAAGAATGACTAGCTTGAACTTACTAACTGGATCATTATTGTTTAGTTAGGTTTTCTTTCCGAATAAATTAAAAAACTTTTCACTCTATTTAGGAGCTTTCTTCTATTCAAACATAAGCATCCTTATCTTTCTTTGTCTTCACCCTAATAAAGCAGGTTCCCTTTTCTAAACCAAAAGACTTAATGACACGCCTACAAAATCATAGTAAGAAAAGCCTCTATAATTTACCCAAAACATTTCTTTCTAGAAAATAAACACAGCCATACAAAACAATTCCATTTAGAAAAATAACTAGTCATAATTCTATAAACCTATTTGCTTTACTTCAAATAATCAAGCAATTTCTATTAGTGTCCATATTCTCTGTCTATAGGTTGCTAACTTTAATACTATTAACATAGGATATTCATATAGTTTTCCAAATATTAAACACTTCCAAAGTTATTAGTATAACTACATTTTTCATAAAAACTGTGCGGTGTATATAAAATACATATGTGTCTTATTGAAGGAAATACTTTTTCTAATAATAATCTTTTTAAGTTATCTAAAATAAAACGTATTTACTATTAGAAAAAATAGTACCTTTGAGTTAAGAGGGATATTAAAAATCATGTAATAAAAAAGGCAAGATTGTTAAGGAAAATGTAACAGGGAGAAAGATACAGACAATCTTGAAATATACAATAGAATGACTAAACTCATTAAAAACCCCTATCTTTGAAGAATTTTGGAATAATTTGTGAATGCCATGACATTTTAAAGTGGGATTAGCAAGTCTTATTACTGAACTAACCTCTCACTCTTAGATCAAGAATTAAATATTTGCTCTGCATTTAAAATCACAAATCGAAACTTTCAGGGCTCATACAAGAATTTCATATACTAAGAAATACACACTCAAAGTTTTAGATAATTAAAAGTATATTAAGGAATAGACAGAGCAAGATTGTTAGTTTATTTATAAAATTCTGTGTTTTAACTGAAAGGTTAAAATACATAATGATTTATAACTACACATTTAATTATAAACTCTTTTTCTAATATACTGTAAGATTACTAATACTTCTCCAAGTAGGCAACAGGGAAAGGGAGTGTGCGTTGTCATATTTTAAATAATTTCGCTAAGAGAATCAAATCAAGTTCTGTTTAGTTGCAATACTACCTTTTGGGGTACTCTTCCAAGCTTTCCAAAGATGCCAGATCTGCCTTTTTTTGTCTTTTGACAACAGAAGGGGTAGGTAATGCCTGAACATATTTCTATTTCTAGTGAAAAGACCACCCAGTGGATGCTGGCAGAGTCTACAAACGTTTGACAAATACATTGTCAGAAGATAAGAAATAGAGTATTATGAAGAGACAGTTCTGTTCTTTCCCAGTTGTCTGGGGCCCTGGAAAAAGTCTAGGACAGCTCTCAGCCTTTCATTTCTATTGCACCTACTCAGAAGTACCTGGCAACTTTTCTCCACCTTTAAATTATAATGACTACAGAAAACAAATGTATTTCATGTATTACACAGTAGAATTAGTTACCTTCTCTCCACAATAAAAATTAACAAGTTACCATTACAACTACCTTAAAGGTGAGGCAGTAAGAATGGAATCCAAACTGCATATAGTAAGATGCTGAGCAAAGATCAATCAGAAATAACATGCCTCAGCCTAAAATATGTGAAGCCTCTTCCAATCCGTTGTAAAATACGATACGGGCTTAAAAGATTGAGTTGCAGACTCATAAATTTGCAATTTTTTAAATGCCCAGTTCAGGATATTTTTTGTTTGTTTCCAGCCCCATCCAGAGTTTCCAGATCAAGTTTCAGTCGTGATCCACTCCTCCCCACACCACCCCTCGCCCCTAATTCTCCCTCCTTCACTCCCTTGCAACTTGGCTCCCAGATAGTTGGGGGAGCTTTCTCTCCTCTTCCCAGGATAGCAGTGACATCCCAGGGCTCTCTCCTCGCTGGAAGCCCCACAGGGTCCCGTCAGACACCCTCTCGGAGGACGTGGGGCCCCGGCACAAATCTGAGCATCACCCCGATGAGGGCAAGACGGGCCGGACTCCCCGCCCCCACTGAGCGCCCAGCCTCTGGGCTGCCTTCCTCGGGAAACACGGGAGCCGGGGCTCCCGGAGCAGGGGGCGCAGCGCCCAGGTCCCCAGGCGAGCGGCACCGGCGAAGTTCCCACCTGAGCAGGCGGCCTGAGGTGTCAGACGCGAGGGAGGGGCGGGGACGGGGAGGCCGGGAACCGGGAGGCCGGACCGGGGAGAGCCTGCTCGCCAAGGAGATGCTCCACGGCCGGCGGGGCTGGCCAACTTGCCGCCGCCTCCCAGAGCGCCTGAGGGAAACGCGCCGCCAGCGCCCGCCCGCCCACCCGCTCCCGGCGCCGCGGCCGGGGCACTAGGACCCCAGAAAGGAAGGAGGGCGCGCCGGCGGCGGCGCCGCACTTACCGCGCTCGGCTCGCCCGCACCGCCGGCTCGCTCCCCGGCCGCAGCCGCCGCGTCCGCCGAGCCGCGCGCACACACACGGCGCTTGGCCAAATTCAAAGGAGCCGGGCGCGGGGGAGGGGGCCCCGCCGAGGGCGCGGGGCGCGGGGCCGGTGGGGGCGGGGAGGGGGAACAGCAAGTGTTACAACTTCCTTCCCTGCCCACCGCCCGGCCGCGGCGGCGAGGGACGCGCGAGGGGAGGGCAGCGCGCGCGGAGCGCCAATGAGTTCACTTTCTTTTTCTCCCCCGCGCTCTCCCCCTCTCCCTTCCCGCCGGCCCCTCAGCCTCCTCCGCGGCTGGCGAGGCCCGGCCGGAGTTTTCGGCTCCCCGCCCGGGAGCGGGAGGACGAGGAGGCGGAGGCGGAGGGAAGGTGAGGAGGCGAGCAGGGCGCCGTGCCAGGGAGCGGCATCCAGGACCGTAACTGTGCGGAGGGGGACGCGCCGGCCGAGTGTGCCCGCGACGGGCGCGTACACGTGTCCGTGTGTGTGTGAGAGAGTGTGAGGAGAGGCGAGGAGGAGAGGAGCCTACCATGCGCTTCCCCCGGCGCGGATCGCGGGAGAGCCCAATCACGGGGCGAGCTGGACCCGGCTGTGATCATTTATAATCCTTGACTCCTCCGCTCCGCCACTTGTCAAGATGACAGGTACTTTATTTCTTCTTCTTCTTTATTCAAAAAAAGAGATTCCCCGTTTGCTGCCTTTTCCTGTCAAATGGGATTTGCCGGACTGAACCACGTTCGCCGCCCCTCCCTCCTCCCCTCCTCCCGGCCGCGTCAGGCCCGGGAAGGCACCGAGGCTCCCATGCTGTGACCAATCAGTGCGTCTACCACTCTCGCCGTGATTTAGGGGTCATCCATGAATAACACTTCACGCTGATGAATGGCTCTCGCCGGCTTTCGGCTCTGATGAGGGGTCTGCCCGCCGCTGATTGCAAACACTAATGAACTTACGGCGCCATTCGAAATTCACGCGCACCAACAAAGTGCGGGGTACGTGCGCGCGGGGTCTGCGCCGCTCTCCTCCGCGCGGCGGGGCTGGGGGCCGGGGAGAGGGGCGGGGGGCGGCTTTGGACTCAAGTGGAAACACTTCTCTGTGTAATCAAACCTCTCACCTTCTTAGAAAACTACTTTTCTTCATCTTCCATAGGGTGGGCATTTCGGGTCAGCTGAGTCACCGCAGGAGGTGGGAGTGCGAGACTCTGCCGGGAGAGATGGATTCCGGGGCAGGAGGGTGTCATTAAGGGTTTCCACCCCCGGTAGGCGGCTCGTCCTTTACCGAGCCTCTGAAAAGGACCTGCGCCTCCCCTACCCGAGCGTCCTCCCGTCCGAGACTGAAAAGCGCAGTGACCTCCGGACAGGGGAGGGCGGCACCAAACACTCAGACGTCCTTGCTAGCCCCAGCTCCGCGCCGTGGTGGAACAAGTGTCCACGCCCGAGTTCGCGTATCGGGACCTCCAACAAGCGCGACCTGGCCAGGGGCGGACCCTGGGGTCCCCTAAAGCCCCCACAGCCCACGTTGACTCCCTCTTTCTCCCCACTCTCCCTTCCAATTAGCTGCCAAACACTCCCCCTGCGTCAACTTTGTTTGCCGTGGGAGGAAAAAAAGTTTACTGCGCTGCAAGACACTGCCACTTGCCACTCACTTGAGTTCCCACCAACACTCTCGCTCCTGGCTCCCCAGCCCCTCCGGGGGAGCTTTCCTAGCTTCTTGAAGTTCCGGCCGCTCCGGAGTTTTGCAACAACAAACGCGCGACCTTTGCGAAGCGGCTCTCTGGCTCGCGGGCCCTGGAACCTGCAGGCACCTCCTGCTCCCGGACCCGCGGCGGCCGGGGTGGGGCGCGCGCGCGTGGGGCGGGCGAGGGCGCATGGCCCCCAGTGGGGCGCCCGAGCGTCCCCCCGCCCTCCCCTGGGACCTATACGGAGCTGAGACTCGGCGGCGTCCGGGCCTGCCCCGGGCCGCGGCGGACCGGTCCTCAGAAACCCAGGGAGGGACTGGTGCGCTCCCAACCTTCTCATTCCACCTTCCACCCTCCGCTTCAGAGCCGAGGGCGGAGGATTCCACCGACCTGTACCTGACTTGCCTGGGCCAGGGGGAAATACACTTGCATATGTAACAACATGCGAAACAAGAAACAGATCAAGCATTCGGAAAACAAGGACAACGACTGAACCTTTATGGTAGTTGGTCCAAAGTTTGGCTAGAACTGACAAGTAGAATCACTGAACTCGCCTTTGCGTGCCCAGACCCACAATCTGAGTTCTCAGAGTTGCTAAGTTTCCGGGCGCAGCGCAAAGCGTTGAGAAGTCTCAGTCATAAGTGAACCCGACCAGTGACGAAAAGCACCACACGCACATCTTTGCAGGAAGAATCTAGAGTCACCCTGGGGTGGATCAGTCTCCTTCATGCCATTGCATTTCACACTTGAAAAAGGTCGTTTGGACGGATGAAATATATACCTCTCTCATTCTAGCCATTCTCATTATCTTAAGATAATGGCAATAAAGTATTTCCCAGATCTTAAATGATGATCGTGCAAACTACTTGAAATTTGCATCCCTGACATGATGGAAACTCCGAGGTTGTTTCATATATCATTTTTGTGGCCCAATTCCCGCCAAAACATGCTAAGTGTTTAAAACTTTTGTAAACTGTATAAGTAATATTCTCTTTTGCCTCTCGCTGTCTAGGAATACACAATAAAGAAAAAAAGATACTCTGCCCCAATCCTAAAGAGGCCAGCACAGAAGAGCTACATTGTGGGAGTTGAGGGGTGGAGGCCTGTTTCTTCAGCTCTTTTTTTTCTAGAACCCTCATTATAGCTAACGTTGATAATAAAGGTAGGAAACAATAGAGCTCATCAAATTTAGAAATGGTAATAAATCTTACAGTCTGTCTCTAGCCCAGTTCCCTATTAAGTGATATTCAAAGTTTTTCAGTATGGGATGCTGAGCATTCACACTAAGTGGTTGTGATATAGAAAAAAATACCCTAGAACTCATTAATACCGCCCTGTGCCCTCCGTGCCAGGTGTCACTGGTGGATGAAGAGTGCAGGTGTCCTCCCCAGCGCGTCTGGCGAAGCCTATAATCCAGGCAGCGTTCCTGTGTTAAGTTTGGGTCTTCACGGGGTCTCTGTCTCTCTCTCTCTCTCTCTCTCACACACACACACACAGTCACCACACACAAGTTCCATCGTTTGGGGCCGTTAGAAAAGCTGATGTTGTGCAGAGCCAAAGTGTACCACACGCTTCCTGCTCCAAATGAATCCCTGGAAAGCGGAGAGGCAGCTCGCTACGTGACCATCATGCTTTTTACCTCACTGTATGTTGCCGAGAGAGGGCGGGGATGGCGGGTAGCTCACTCCGTGCCCTCCGCAGCAATAAAAACTGGAGCAGGAGAAGAAATGCAAGACGTCGCTGTTTTGCAAACCCCTGGCCGCTCACAGCCAACTCTGCCCGGCGCGGCTGGTGACTTTGCCGTGTTCACGCAGCCGGTCGTGCTCGGGATAATGGGACCAAGCTGGCCGCATCGCCCTCCCGTGGGCCCCTCTTGTCACACAGATACGAAGCTCTTAGAAAAGATAATGTGGCGGGGGCTTCCCTCGCAGCACCTACCCTTACTCCCAGAAATGCAAGCCTGCGGCCTTTGCAAGCCTCCGAAGAGTACTCGGGAGGAAGATAATGGGCTGAACCTCCGGATTCATTGGCGGGTCGGGAAGGATGGGCCAGTGCCCTCAGGACTGGGGCAGGTTGGGAGAGGGACAGGCAGAGCCAACAGCATCCTGGTCTGCTGCTCCACCCACTCCCCACCGGCCGAGTTTCAGCCGACTGTCACTCCCCACCTGAAAGAGATGCCTGTCCATTTTGGTCAGCATCCCATGTGCCTTCCCTTCCTCCCCTTCTCTGGCTGGCTGTCCGTTTTCTCCTCCTGTCCTAAAGATCCAGCTCAGAGCTGAAGGGGCTGGGTAGCAGCTGTTCCCGCCTCTCTCCCTTGGGGAGCGGGCGGTCCCCGCAGCCACTTCCTCCTCTGACACGCCAGGTTTTCAGCCGTGCAGAAAGGGAGCACCGGGTCAGGCGGGCATGAGGCTCTCCAAGGAGACTTGTGGACATCACTCGACTTCATAGGCATTCTTTGGACTTACTGTGTCTGCTCTAGCAAACTGAGGCATGAGCAGCCTGCCTGCTGGGTTCAAACCGAGTTGCTGCCAGGGCTGCAACCTCTCCCACTCAAGGGACCCTAGGAACTGATGAGGAACCGGAAGGAAATGACCAGGGGAGCCAAATCTCAGGTACCTAGACCTTCCGTCTCACCCCTTGAAAAGATCAGGAAAGCCAGTAATCCACATATGATCAAAAAGAGGTTATGTCTCAACTGAGAACAGCAAATGAATGCTGGGCCACTTGAAACAGGGGCTCAAGGCTGGTAGTCACTGAGCCAAACCCAGAGTTCTAGGCACCGGAAGTGTTTCAGCTAAGCATATGGCAGGCAATTCATCTGGAACAATTGACAGCACTAGAACTTAAAATTTTACATGGAAATCTCTCAAATAGCCTTAAAGTTATTATCAGGTTAGGATTTCTTCCCCCCACTGGCAAAAAATAACTTAGTTGCCTTGGCTGCTAGATTGAGGGAACTGTAAAACAAATATTCTAATTCGATCACTGACAAAGTCATAAAATTAAACGACTGTTTGTAGTGGAAAATATGCTTTCATCATCTTAATTAAAGCAAGGTAGGCCTCTCAATGCGCATGCATTTTGGAGCCACTGAGTGGACTGGTGATCAGACAAATCAACCTTTAAATGGGACCGTGATTTTCCAGGACATTAGCTTGTGTTCCATTGCAGAAACCAAACCCAGCCTTGTGCAGGACTCTGGCCTTTGGTTAAGAACGAAGTTGTGGAGCATAACCCAAGGGCTCTCTTGGTTTTGCTAGAGCATTATGAAAGCCCCCAAGTCCTGTGAAGGATTGTGAACGCAGAGGCATCTTTAACATGGGGTACTTTCAGTATTGGTTTTTAACTCCTTAATGTATGTGTTTAAAATGTGCCACATTACTCCACACTAAAAGATGGGACCTTTATGATTAGCAGTTATCATGGAGTGCCTTTTAAAATCTGTCAAATTTCCTATAAACAACTTGTTAGTAAGTAGTATATATAGTGTATTTATTTAAAGTAGGCACTGGCTGCCGGCACGGTTTATCATAAGTTTGTGACACAGCAGGACAGTGTTGTCAATAAAATAATACCCTTTAGATATTTCCGGGTCCAGTTTATATGTTAACTTGTAAATAGGTTAAATATAAGTATCAGTGACTATTATTCAGTATCAGATAAATTAAACATCATTTTATTTCCCAGAAGTGCCTTAGTCTTTCTCCTGCCTTTGCTGACCCCCTTAGTCTAGAATATCCCACACCGGGGGCTCCTCGAACACTTAGCTTTTAAAGGCCCCTGTTAATGATACTCTCCTCCCTTACCAGTGCTTCCACTGTATTTTCTGCGTGCAATAAACAACGGTGGCATTGCGTTTTGTATAGCCTTTTCCCAATAGCTGAGAGCTCCTGGAGTGTAGGGGCTTGACCTTTTTCCTCTTTGAACCCACAGGGCCTAGCACGTGGGCCGGCATGTAGGAGATGCTCA